AAAGCTAAACATCTCAAGTGATGCAGTAAAAATCGATTTTGTTCAGTCTCAGATCCAGAAAAACGAGCGATCATCGATGCGCGCCGAAGGGGGCCAGCGACGAAATGTTGGCAATCGACGAAGGAACGATTCTATCAATAGCACACAAAGCGAATGTCTGCCGACATCGGTTGGTTACCGTTCGTTCTGTTTGATTTGTGGTGTAGCGCATCACCAGAAGGTGCAGCTTTCATGAGCGGATAATTGAAACAAGAACAAGTTCGATCACGGGGTAGGGAACCGGGGATGAGCTACAATATGCAGTTTGCTGCCAATGACGTGTGTGGAGAGAAAAGTTTGGCACCGCCAAATCCGTTTTCCACCACTTCAGAGACCAAGCGACAAGATCGTTCATTTTGTTCATATCAGTAGCTTTCCACCGAGTGTTGTCACTTACCCGCTTCACCAACCGGTTGGAAACGGATTTAGCGCCGCGCCAAACCCAGTCCACTTGGCACGCATCATCATCCACAGCGAACAAGACTATACAATCCTCAGTAGCATATGAGAAATCGTAGCACTGTTAGGCTCGTGGGGCCAGAGCACGTCGCACGTTGGCATCTTCAGCGGCTTACCGAGAAGGGTTGTATCTGATGGGTGGAAGGAGGGAGGGGTTGTACTCGCCCTTAGAAATAATGTTTCCAGTTGTTGACCTTTCCCGATTTTTCTGTTTCGTGTATCTTGTGTACCCGTAGCCCGTCGCCGTAGGTGGAGGCGCGGTTAGAGTCCCTGCAACTGCTATTTTCGATATTATAGACCCCCCTCTCTCCTTCCCCCTCCCTTTCCTTCGACCGCGACTGCTCGACAACGGTTTTTAGGAAATCTCGGAAATCTCGAAAAAAATTCTGGAAATGCGGTAGGAACTTGGGAAAATTGGGAAGATTATAGGTAGCATGATCAAGGGGGCCATACCAGAAGAGGAAATCTTGAGGGAGGGGTGTATTCGCAACAGTTTTCCCCGACTGCAGCATGTGCCTCCGTGGGAGCACAGAATGTTACTCAGACAAGCTTGTACAGACCACCCTTGAAGGCCAAACATGGTTTCTTGCTCACTTGTACCATTTTGCAGCTTCACAAGAGCACGTTTTTCACCAAAAAGGCACTCGTTAGTTAAGATGAATAGCAAAGGAAAACTGTGGGTGTGTGAAATACCCCTCCTTGGTCGAACAGCGCCAGAACCTGTTAGGAAACGCAATAGCATATAGAATTCTTCCAGGATCGACTCCATATAGACTCCGGAGGGGAGACGCGAAGTGTTGCCGGTGATGCACCGCCATCTCCCTCCCTGTCCTACATGCAATTGTGTCAGTCCTTTGAATCGATTGGTTCGTTCGATTGGAGCCGAGAAGTGGAATCCGAATACAATGCGAAGCATGGTGAAGAAAAAGAAAGCCATTCTACGAATTACCAAGAAAGGTATGTTTATGGCCTCTACATAAGTTATCGTGATGGTTCACTCGAATTGTGGTTCTAAGGAAGTTTTCTTTGCTCTACTCTTTTGACCACTTAATTTTTTATCAGTAGATCTGTGCCCTTTTTGAGATACCGTAAGCCGATGTGTTCACATGACTGTTTTGCGATGCATAGCGACGGAAAAGGCGCAAAGAAAAAGAAGACTCACCACCCCCACCTAACACACAGATTCAAATTGTTCTTAGGAGAATAGAGTTTATTTACAAAGATTAAAAAGAAGGAAACACGTTTTGTCCTGCCAAAAAATGCTGCGGTCAGTCTGCTAAAAAACGAGGTCAGAGGTTGCCTGACTTTCGTGGCACTTGGGTGTGCTAGTAACTCCCTAGAAAAGTAGGATGCAGTCATGGAGCGTACCAGGTTTTTCGGCGTTCAGCTTGTTTGTTCATTTTAGCGCTTTCCATTAATTCTTACGGCTGTTGAATTATGGACGTCCTGGATGGAAATAAAATCTAGACAAGAATAGAAGAATTCAAAAGTTTGCAGGATTTCAGAGGAAGATCCTTCGATGCCACTGAGACTTCACAATGCGATTCCGCGAAAGAAGGATCTCTCATGGGAGATGCGTCCACATTTCCAACTTTTCCCGATGCGGGAGCATTAATTGAGGACTACCTCATGGTTTGGAGCACAGTGGATGTGGGAAGCAACGATCGAAACTCGGGTTTAGTTTGTTCATTTTGGCGTCAGTCAGCCATTTGATATTTCTCAGGCCATATTAAGCGTGTGACCTCAGCCCTTTGTACAGCCTTGTTGGGTACGGAAAAAAATTTGCCCAACAGAGGGTTTCCAAAGATAGCAGTCGTGACCCGTTGGGTAGTTTTGCGTACTTTCGCACCTCAGACATACCCAAATTCCCAGAATGTTCGAAGGTCGCACCGAATCACACAGCCCGTACATTCCCTCGAAGCCAGGATAAGCTCGTTTCAGAATCACTGCTTTCTGGAGATTTATTCCCTTTACTGGTAAGCACTGGGAAGAAGTATGCTCAGGGTACAGCACCGTTGTGTGAACACATAGGGGAGGTCGTATTCGGTTGTTGGGAGAGAGGAGGAGGGTCGTCTGTGCCTTTGAGAGATTTTCCGTTTGTTAATTTTTTGCGTTTTTTTTTCCTGTTTCATGTGCACTATATACTCTTCCGCTCGGCGGAAAATTTTCAGGTGAAAAACTGGAAAATGGGGAAACTTGTGTAGGTAGGTGTTGGGGAAGGGGGGGGGCGTACCGAGACCCGAGACCCTCATTTAGGCGTGGGGGGTCGTACGTATTTACACCATCATTTCACACATCACGATGCTGTACTCTGACTATGCTTTTGCTCGGCTTTCGTCTAAGGGCATGTGCCATACAGGAGCTGTGCTACCTCTTTGCTTTCACCCCCTCCCTTCAATGTTTCTCATTTCTTCGACTTTCTGATATCAGTGATTTTTCATTTACAATTATTTTCCTTTTGATTTTTGTTTTTCGTGGTTTCGTGAATTTTGTAGTTTGACATGGTTGTTTTTTAGATAGTGATCGGTCTTCCTTACGTGGCAGCATAGTAGAAGAGGAATTTGATGAGTCTTGTGAGCCTTCAAGTGGAGAATGTACCCCAACTGAGGAGAGTGGAGATGAAAAACATTGGAACAATCGAAGTAATAATGAGTGCTTCCATTTATCAAATTTTTTGCCTTTCCTCTCCTGTTGCTGTAGTTTCATTTTTTATTGCTCAGAAGGTTTTATGAGCAGCGGTTTCTGTATAAACAGCGGTTTCTTCATTCAGTCGTATTATAGGAATGCCACAGATTATCAAATCCAGTGCCGGCTATAGTGGTGGTGATGATGTTCACAAGGAAAATCGAGGCAGTCGTTTAATGGGACGTGTCACAATTGAACGACCAAGAAGAGAGCCAAATGCGTCGGAAACAGTGCCGCTGTCATCGCGTACCACACGAATTCTCACACGAAACGAACCGAGAAGGACATACAAGCCTCCGGCGATGCGAGGTGTGTTTCATGCAGCTATTAGAAAAGGAGAATCAGGGGAATATCAAGGCGGCGTTCATTCTCGGGAATGTGCGAGAATCGGCGAGAAGGAAATTGCACTCAGCGACCTGTAGAATCCGCCATTCTGTAGAAACGCGAAATGGGAGATCCCGCGGTAAAGGACCAAAGTGACATAGTCTATGACGCATTCGCGGATTCCGACGGTTGGCGTAAATGCTCCTTTTGTCGCCACTTCTTCCATATTTTTTTAATCTTCGTATCCGTATTCTTTCTTCCATTTCTCCACATTCTCGAAGCATGAATTCTGCCCACAAGAAGAGAGGCGGGTAAGCCGGGGAGAGATGGTGTGGAACAAAAGGCAAGAGGAAGAAGGGTAGAAGTTATCCCAAAAATGCTGA